CCAGCGAGCAGGAGGGTGAGAGTGTGAAGGCTGGCCAGGAGCCGACCCCGGAGTCCCCTGAGCCAGGGACAGATGTCATCCCCGCCGCCCCCACGAAGCCCAAAGAGTTCTCCAAACTGGTCCTGCTGGCAGCCTCCACAGAGAATGTGGATGAGGTGGACTCCCAGCCCAAAGGAGGGCACTGTGTCATGTCCCTGGAGTTGTCTGGCCCTGACACGCTAGCCAGGAACCCCCAGATCCTGCCAGTGGAGGAGCAAGCGGGCACAGTCCAGCCAACCCCCCAGGTCCCTGAGCATAAACGCAGCAAGCCAGACACAGGTGAGTTCCAGGCCTGCTGCCCCCGGCACAGCCACCTTTGTGGCCCTGCATGCTCAGACACAGGCCCTGTGTACCCCCTTTCCGGCGGGCGGCCTTGGGGTCCCATCCCTCCTCTGAGCTAGGCATCCTCGTGTCTCATCACGACTCTGTCTCAAGCTGGTGTGACGATCTCGGGGCCATCCCTGTGCATCCGCCATCGCTCCCATCCATGCCCTTGGCCTCGAGCCTTGCTCTGCACCAGCTAACCCAGCCCCCCCTCCCCTGCCCTCAGCAGCCCTCGCGCCCCTGGAGTTCCTGAGGACCCCTTTCGGGGGCCGCCTCCTGGTGCTCGAGTGCTTCCTGTACAAGCAGGAGAAGGCCGTGGGGGACAAGGTGTACTGGAAGTGCCGCGAGCACTCTGAGCTGGGCTGCCGGGGCCGGGCCATCACCCGGGGCCCACGGGCCACAGTGATGCGCGGCCACTGCCACCCGCCTGATGAGGAGGGCCTGGAGGCCCGGCGCCAGAGACAGAAGCTGCCCAGCCCCGCCCTGCCTGAAGGCCCGGGGGGTCCGGAGGGCCCCGGGGGCCAAGTGGAGGAGCCACTGGAAGGGGTGGGCCCGTGGCTGTGCCCTGAGGAGCCGGAGCCCGCCCCCGGCTTGGTGCTGAGCAGGCCGGCCGCAGAGGAGGATGAGGGCCTACGAGCCCTGTCGCTGCTGAGCTTGCCCCCCAAGAAACGGCCGACGCTGGGGACCGGTGAGTGCCTCACAGCTGGGCTCCCCTCTGGGGCGGGCGGGAACCCCCAGGCCCTTCCCTGCGCCCAGATGGAAGTGTGGGGTCCCTCTTGGTTTTCTAATGTGCTCAAAGTCAAGATGAGTAAAAAATATAAACATGTCCCCCAAATCATTGAGCCCGTGGGATAGAACTAGTGCTCCAGAACCAGGGGTCCCAGGGCCTTCTGGAACTTTCTGATGCAGCAGGGTCTGGTGTGAGGCCAGAAGCCTGAGTTTTAACAGGCCCAGGTGGTGCTGGTAACCCATGAGTTTAGGGAAGGCCGGCCTAGGGGAGAATGCTGAACTTTGGGCCGGGTTCAAGTCCCAGCCCCCACCTCGTGTAGCCTGGTGACTTCAGAACACGTTCTGAACTTCTGGAGTTTCAGGAGCTTCATCGGGGCTGGGTGACGGCTCAGGTTAGGGGAGATTAGGTGTGTGATGTGTGGGAAGTGCTCAGCACCGGTCCGTGTGTGCTGGTCGGCCCCGGAGGCCTTCTGCGTGGTTTTTACCACCAGTAAGTGGGAGGTGGGCTCCATCCCAAACGCTGGCTCCCTCCTGGCCCAGATTCAAGGATGCAAGGAGTTAGGGCAGCCGCTGTGCTGGTACCGAGGGCCGGCAGGGGCCAGGCAGGGCAGGGAAGACACGTTTTTCACTGTGTGTCTTTTGCCACCATTTGTATTTTATGGCACGTGCACGTGTTATTCGAAAATTAGATAAAAATTTCAAACAAACCCTAAAAAGAGGTATGGCCGTGAGTGACCGAGTGCCTAGGCTAGGAAGTCAAAGCCGGCTCACTCGTTCCCGGGTGTGTGACCTTGGACGTGACGTGTAAACACCGAGAGCCGTGGCCACCGCGCTGACCTCCAGGAGAGGAACTCAGTCTCTTCCCCGGGTCACTGGGTGGGGGGGGGGTCAGTGGGAGTACACCCGCGGCCCACGCATGCCCGGCTCAGGGGAAGCTGCAATAAAGGTCAGCATCGAGGAGAAGGCGCTTGCACCCCCCGCCCCGCACCTCCTGGGCCTGCGCTCCTCGGCGCCCTGACTGCCCAGACTCCTCCTCCAGGAGAACCCCGGCCCCTGGAGTTCCTGAGGACTTGCTACGGGGGCCAGTTCCTGGTGCACCAGTGCTTCCTGTACAAGCGAGAGAAGGCCGTGGGCGACAAGGTGTACTGGACGTGCCGGGACCACGCTCTGCACGGCTGCCGCAGCCGGGCCATCACCCAGGGCCAGCGGGTGACTGTGATGCGCGGCCACTGCCACCCGCCGGATGTGGAGGGCCTGGAGGCCCGGCGGCAGCAGGAGAAGGCCATGGAGACGCTGCAGGCCCGGCCGGGCGGGCCCGGAGGCCAAGTGGACGAGCTGCTGTCCCGAGGTGGGCCCGGGCCCCTGACTCTCAGCAGAGCCCGGCCTAGAAAGCGCGCAAAGGCCCTTCCGGCCCAGCCCCCGGCCCTGCAGGGCGCCTCCGCCGGGGACCAGGAGGATGACCTGGGTGAGTCTTTCACACCTGGCCCACAGCTGGGCCCCCTCCAGCCGTGCTTCCTCGGGTCTGGGGAAGTAGGAGGGACCCCAAGACCCTGAACTCCCACCTCCCTCCCCCACCCTCCTCCCGTGTCTCCCCAGGAGGCCCCGAGTTCCTGAGGACCCCTCTGGGGGGCAGCTTCCTGGTGTACGAGTCCTTCCTGTACAGGCGGGAGAAGGCGGCCGGGGAGAAGGTGTACTGGACGTGCCGGGACCAGGCCCGCATGGGCTGCCGCAGCCGCGCCATCACCCAGGGCCGGCGGGTGACTGTGATGCGCGGCCACTGCCACCCTCCTGACCTTGGGGGCCTGGAGGCCCTGAGGCAGCGGGAGAAGCGCCCTGGTGCGGCCCAGCGGGGGAGCCCAGGTAGGACAGACTGCGGCCATTGGGCCTTGGGGACAGGCAAGGGACCCAGCCAGCCAGTCTTTCCCTCTGACCCCCCCGCCCCCCGCCCCCCCCCCCCCC